TTACGGTAAATGAATGGAAAACACCCGATCCGTAACATCGCCTCCTACTAAGCATGCCAAGGGAAAAACGCGGGTGGAGCGGTTCAAACTATCAGCAACCTATTCAATGCTAGCACTGCTTACCGATCAACGGTCAACAGTCCGTTAGATCGCTTCATTGGAGGAGATACTAGCCTTCGTAATAACGCAAGCATCGTCCCTTAATTTAATGGAGGCCGAAGGAGTCCCTCCACTATGAGTTGCTAAACGCAAACTAGATGGAAACAGCTATCGATTCCCTCTATGATACCCTTTATTTGGCTAACGGAGTTAGAGAAGGACAATCAAAATCGTAAATTGGGTCCCTACAGAGGGACAGCGCACGTCGAAATTTTGCTTTAAACACGCGTCAAAAGTTCTACGATTCCAATTGGTTCCAGGTTGTTCATCAGTCGTACTCCCGGAGTGTTGCCCCTTTTAACTACCATGTGCTCCGCCTTTTTGAGCATCCCGTTGTGGAAAAGAAATTCGTAACTTGATGTGATCTGTAAAAAGCAGACAATTACTTCTTTGAGTCCCAGCTTCCTAACTCTTGGATAAAGAGCATCAGTGATTTGCTCAAAAGATAATGGAAGGTCGTTGACCTCTTTGGTGAATATACTTCCGAAAATTGATTGGTCTGGGAAATTTCAGAAGTGATTTAAAAAAGGTCTCCATTTTATAGAAGGACTTTTTTGCCAACCTAGAAGAAATTTTCCTTCGAAGATACTCAAAATTGGCAGAAACTTTCCGGAGAACTCAATTCTAGAAGCAACTGAAGATCAAGCGATTCGATTAGGTCAAAGAACCCATCAGAAAGTGGATGAAGAAAAAGGAGAAACCAGCAGTTCTGTTTCATCTCAATACGTTTTTTCTTAAGAGAGAAAACGCTGTCGATTGAATGAGATGTAGAACAATTCCCAATACTAAAATTTTTGGCGGTAATCAATCCAATCGTGTGGAACACTATCGCATTTGACTTCCGTTCATACATGTAATAACGTTTCGAAGCTTATTTGGTCTGCACAATGGCTTGCTGTTATATTTTTACATCTTCCCTTTGTACTGTGGGTACTAATCCATAGCACTCGTCCAGGATCTCAAAAGATCCGTTTCACAATCAGCAGCACGGAAAGCAATCAGTACTAATGGTTTCTGGTGGGATGAAAAACTATCCTAGGTGTTCATCGAATCACTGCCCCTTTTACTTCTCAGTAAACTTGTCTGGGTGCCGGTATTGCACCGAGTTCTCGTAACAAACGGCCATAGACTTAAGATACAAGAATAGCTCGAGTACCGTAACCTTTCACTGGGTTTCTATATTTTCTCTGCAGTAAGCGCGACTGCGAGCGATCGCGTGCGGCGGTCATGGCGCGCCGTTCGGGTGCCTAATGCCACTTGCTTCTCATGTTCCTCAGCGTTTGTCCTTGCCCCCCCCCCGTCCCTTCTTGGGGGCGAGGTCCGCTTTTCCAGTGTGTTGACGCCACTTTTTCGGTTTAGTTAGTGAAAGTAAATAGACATGTTCTGCGCGGATGTAAGTTAAAAGTTTTTTGCGCCTGGCATTCTAACTGAAAAGGGTGGACAAACCAAGGTTGTTTTCAGGAAGGACATTCTCTGGTGGTGAGCAGAGGCAAGACTAGAGAAATCGATTCAAGATTTATCGCCGAAGATTCTGAGGATGGTCGTCAACATTCACTTACTATAGTCTCAGTTCAACCTAGCGATGCCGGTGAATACGGGGTCGTCATTGACGGTGTCTACACCATCGTCACCAGAATAGTCGTCACTGGTTTGTTGTTGTCGTTCCGAATTGATCACAAGCTTTTTGCAAAACTTCTTTGGAAATTTGAGCTTTCAGAATCCGAAGTATTTACGCAATTCATATACGAAGAACCAGAAATTGATGTGTCGTTGCAAATGGATTCTGTCAAAGATGATGCTTGCGTAGGTATGACCGAGCAGGTGAAAACTCGTCTGGAAAAAGATGTCCAAGAGAGCGATGTGGAAGCCATGACAGGAGAAGAAGGTACGGTTCTATCGGATACTGTATCGTACTGTCCATTCTCAAGTGCTATTCAGAATAACGTTTCACCCTCTGCTGAAGGCACAGTTCACGATAAAAATAGTTTTTGAGAATCTTCACAGGATGAATTTGAGGCTCTCGCGTATACCATATCTGGCACTATTAGGTCGCAAAACGGCCTAGCTAGGGAGTTATAAAGGCTTAAAGATTGACCCGTGAGTATCCTCGGACGAGTTTCACCGGCATTGTAGAGGCTGCACCGATCACAAGGGAACCCATGTAGGAAGTTCAAACAACCTGTCATGCCCCATAGCGACAATGGAAGACAGTTCTGTACAGTTCTGGCTTGATTTAGTCAGCTCTTTGTGGAATTGCAATAACTGAAATCTCGTCCGAATAACCCTTTTATGTTATTCCCGTCATGGCAATTTCGTCTAACTTCTATTTTCCCTTTCTTCGGGGAGCCATATTTTTCTCAAAACGGCATATTCATTTTTTGGTATGGATGTTATGGTGCAGAATACGGCAAATGTGACGAATAAAATCGACGGATCTGGGGAAAAAAACTTCAACAAAGTCGTTAAAAAGGGGGTTTACGAGATCATACAAACATTAGTGAGAAAGGAAGTTTATATGCAGCCAGAGGAGCTAAAACTTATGCGCTATTGCGTAGAGCTTCTACGATGAGCCGATGGTGCCGGAATTTGCTGTCCATTGTGGGTCCCACTGGGAATCGTCAGCCTTAACAAGACCGTCGTTACACGACCATCTTTAGGTGTACACGTCGGCCATGCCCGGTTTTTGAGTCATTGATACGCCCTGTCTGGGTAGTTTTTTTTTTCGACTCGACAGTGTCCCATGTATTTCTTTGAGGGCCAAAACTTCATCCTAGCGGGAAATCTCAGAAATCATCAATATCGTAAACTGTGCCTCCGAATGAAGCTGTTCTAATTCACCAAATGTAATAAGAGAAAAAGACCGCGTCTGACATGCGAGCGTATGCAATCCTCAATCATAAATGCTTCTCTATCTTCTGTACATCTCAGCACGTGCCAGTAATTAGGTAAATCCTAGACCATTCTAGCTTTTCACTCGGAGTGGAATTATGGAAATTCGAAGGTGAAAGGTAGTCATAGAGAGAGAAATCATTTTACTTTTCAGGTTTCGAAATTGTAGACGCGGACGAAGTTGAAGTTCACCGTGCCGAGGAAGCCATGCAAAAGGAGGCAGTTAGCCAGTTCCCAGAAAAGGAGTTTGCTGTAGTGGAAAAAGATCTTCAAGTGACAGAGAAAGAGGAGCTGATATCGAAGAAGGTTGTGGAGCTGGATCTCAAACGAATCGACGAAGCAGCTCTAGAAGCAGCCGCTGCTGTTGCGATGGAAATAACTGAAAAATTGCTCGCAGATGCCTTTACTGAGGTTGATCAGATCGAAAAGGAGGAGCGCGAAACACCAGCAGTGCCACAAGTTTTGTCATCGAGCGATGTCACAACTCCAACGTCCGATACATTCGAGAAAGTGCCTGAAATTTTCATTGAACCGATGACAGATGAAGGAATATCAACACCGGAGGAGCTACCAGAAGATGACTTGACCCTAGCTGATTTGAGTGCTGGTGGCTTTGAGTTTGTCCGTTCACTGGTTGAAGAATCAATACAAAAAGCGATGGCTGAAGTATCGTCTATGGAGGTTCACGCCCTGATTGCTGACAAGGGCGAAAAACCAGCCGAAGTGGTGGACGTGCAAAGGGAATCAGAACAGCAAAGAACTACTGATGCTGAAGATCAAACTTCCAAGACTTCTGGTCAACCAGAAGCTGGGAGCCTGCATGAGAAACCAAGTGAAGAACAATTTCCGAGGAGTGATGCCCCAGCTCCTGAAAAGGGCGAGGAAGCAGTTCAGAGAGGGCCCGAGGAACTTAAAGGTAAAGAAGAAGAGGAAGAAGTTCCAAGTGAGAGGCTGCTCGATACGGGAAGTGATGTGACTGCTGTTTTCAAAGGAATAGACAACCTGCAGACAAGGGAGATTGTTTCTGAAGAAGCAGCTTGTATTGCAACGGAATTCGTCACAGCTCAAGTTGAAGACGTTGCTGTCTTGTTGCAATTTGATCGAGAAGACACTCATTCAGCAGTGGACTTTTCTTTTGCACGACCAAGAAAATGCAAACTGACTGTGTTCCTGACATTTGATCAAGCCATCGATGTCGTCCCTACGGAAGAAGTGCATCTACATGTTGAATATAGTCATGCATCGCAGACAGAATCTTCCGAAGTCATACTTTCTCAGATCATGTATGAAGATGACGGTAAGCGGAAGATGTTTCAATTCCTCTTTAATATTCTGGATTCAAAAATACCTTGATCAGCTCTTTTGCACAAAAAAATGAGATGGGCTCAGAAGGGTAATGAGAGTTCTGCAAACAAGATTGGTTGAAATCTTGAGCGAGGTAACGCAACGAATAAAGCTCCCTCAGTTCTGTAAGTTCATAAGCTAAGAACGATCCAATGCTGTGAGAGATCCCGGTAGTCTTGGAAGAAGAACTACTTTATTAACGAGGAAATTTACAAAATGCAGTAAAACTTTGACTCGTGCGATCGTCTGCAGTTTAGCTGGCAACGTGACGCGCCCATAAGGCCACGCTCATCTCTTTTCGTGCGCGACTGGCACCCACCGTGGCTGGCACTGTTCCAGGAGAAAATTCTCTCTCTGGCTTATTGAGTTTGGCAATTGGTAAGAAACAAGAAAGTATGGTGGCACCCAAAATTGTGTGCCAATGTCCCATGCGCCATACGTAGGTGCCACTACGAATGGCGCATGGGAAACGTTTTGCACTTTTACAGGGCACTCACTCCCCATTCAAGTAGCGCAGAATTTAGACTAAGATAAAGATATAATGGTCAACTTTCTGAAGGTAAGTTGTTCCAGAATTTTCCCCTACTCGAAGTTATGATGGGTTTGTAGTCGAAAACAGCAATGGGCTTCAGAATGCGACTACGCCTATTGCTTCAGCCATTCAAAGTGCTGACGTTTGCTTCATAGTTACCATTACAGAGGCATCAACAATAGACGACACATTGACGTCGATTTCAAGCAGTTGCCTCTATTGTCCACCGGAATTTGTGTCGCCATTGCAACCGAAGTACGAAATCCAGCGAAATTCTAGAGCTCTTCTGAAAGTGGTGGTGACGGGTGTGCCATTGCCACAAGTCATATGGTATCATAATGGCAATGTCCTTAATTCGATCAAGTAAGTCGCTTTATTATTTGAGCTTCAGGGAAGAATACGGATCCGACTCGTTGACTGCCTGAATCCGTAGTTGCATGACTACACGAATATATCATAATACACAATATTCATATGTTGTAGGAATGTTTTGAACATCATCTACGAGGACGGTGTAAGCTTCTTGGAGATTTATAATTGCACTGAACGATGGAGTGGCGTATTCACATGTGAAGCAAAGAATTCTGCAGGTGTCACAAAAATAGAGTCGATCCTGACTGTTTTACCTGAAGGTCAGCGTCAATCAAAAAGTTTCAACGATCTCATTTCTTGGATGGAACCTATTAGCTCCTTCATGTAATTGTATTGAAATCTCACATAATTTCAGAACCGGAGGGTCCTGTTCAACCAACCGAAATTCACCTATCGAATATTCCATTCCAAGAAGATGTTGAACATATTATCCGCGATAGTGCTCATCGTGATTTCCACGCCGCGGCCTTCACCCTAGGGGTACGTTGCTACCTTTTGTTATTCTTTTGGAAAATGGCAGGGTTGAGTGCAGCAATACAATCAATCTGGCGTACAATACTGCTGTTTCATCTAGTTAACGGTGAAATTTCACTGTGAAAAAATCATTTACATTCTCTGCTTCACCCTAATTCCCGAATGATTTTGGATTCTCAACTAATGTTGGATTGTGTGGAAGGTCTCCGCAGATTTTTGAGTCATCTTAAAAAGTAATTTTCTAGAGAATAAATCCATTTGTTCTCTAGAATTTATCGTCCATTCTGCTCACTAAGGGTTCGTGTTATGGTGCTATGCCTAGACTATATGGTGGGTGTAGTAAAGCACCCCACTCAAACTGTAGAAATTTTTGACGAGTGACCAAAAATACGCGTGGTCTGAAGCTATTCTGTTGCAAACAATTGACCGCTTCTGGGCGCTTCTGGTCTATCGCTGCCTATCAGTTGCTCCAGTACCTTCTCAAGTTTATCGCTCGTCTATGCTGCAACAGCTCATAATAAATGATTCCCCTCCAATCCCACCAGCAACACAGCATAGTCTTCCTCACGTGGATTTTGATTTTTTGAGTAGTGTGACGGCTCGCTGGGAATGCTCCACGATCATTTCCTCTTCACGTTGTTGTACGCGACCCACCTTTTGTCTTCCATTTTCATACGCTTCAGAAACAGCTCATTTTTGTTCCGTTTTAGCGACGAGTCGCACATGAGGGCGCTGTCCATCACATTGCGCTCACTCAGTTCGTGAGGTACCCAGTCATCGAAGCGCTTAATAAAACCAAGATTCAGCAAATGATCGCGGATGGTTGATTTCGTAACATTCAGTCTTCCACCTATTCCACGAGTAGTGATTTGCCGATTCGTTACGATCAATATTTTGATTTGGTCGTTTTCAACTGATGATAGCCTCCTGAGCGTTGCCGACTTTCAAGGGTGAATTCATCCTTTTTTAAATTTCGCAAATCACTCGCGTACTGCACATCCCCTAGAGCATGTCTACTCAAACGTATCAAATCTTTCTCGCGGTTTGAGCCGCATTTTTGCCCTGGCGGTAGAAGAAAAGCACCAGCCGACGCAAACGCACGCGATGATCCTCAAATTTCTTATGAGTCCATACATAAAGACTTTAAGGAACGTTAACAGAACTTGAACTGGTATATAGGGGAGGGCTTAACCTTAGAAAATATATAATTTTATGAGTTTAGGTTCTTGAGCTTTTGCACAACAGTTGATAAACTCGGGGTGTCAAAAATCGGCGTAGACTTTCCGGACAACCCAATACACTGAAAAAAAGATCATGAAGTAATAACAGTGATGGCTGGCTAATGATTATAGACCCGTTTCGCGATGATAGAATGTTCTCCGGACCACCTACTGAGTACAGAGCGCAGGAGGCTTACTATGAAGTATTATAGCAGCAAGAAAGCGATGCGAGTGGAACTTTACCTTGTTGGGAATATTTACTTTTACGACATCTTGCAATTCAGCTCTGAAAATGCTCTGTTGAATTGTAATCTAACTTTACCGATTCTGTCAGGGGTGAGGCTCCTTGCGCATTAGTGCGCCGCCTCCCATGGTGTTGTAGAACCATACAGCCCTTAATAGCAGGCATTCGCCCTTGGCTTCTAAAGAATCGCATAACCGTCTTATCAGTGGGAAATGTAGGAAACTATCTCTACCGCAAATGAGGCCTTACAAAATGTACTTTGAACAATAACCTTTCGTCTGCAGGTGGATGACTCAGTGCCGGAACAAAGATCTTCATCTCCTGAAGTATCAGAGTATAGCAGTGCATCTTCTGGAGCAGGACAGGCTCCTACTTTTATCGTAACCATGCCTCCACAGATTTATTCGAAGGTTGGTGCATTTTAAAAAGTCTGGCGTAAAATATTAGGATGATCAATCTGCGCTTTTTCACTTTATGGGCGGATTCTAGTGGAATTTGTGTGCCTCATGCCACTGCTATACATCGGAACATAATAGCCTGAGCATCGGCTATATACGTGGGAGGGCGGATTGAGAATTGGAAATATAAATAGCACCAGCAGCCAATGAAAAGCGTGGAAACGCACCTAAGACAAGGAAATAACTGCGCGGTGCTATGTTCACGCTGCTTGTAGTCTTCATGCCATCCTCAGCGTATATTCATTGTCGCTCTTGCTCTACGACCCTTGCATAAATTTTGCGTCCATAGAGTTCGTGATACAGTAATCGTTCATGATGGAAAGTGCAGATGTTTCTCTGACCAGCATTGTCATATAATGATCATCCGTTGCGAATTTAGAATTTTCTTTGCAGGTGAACGAAAACATTCAATTGAAATGTACCTTCACTGGACAACCGCTTCCAGCTGTAACTTGGGAGAAGGATGGCAATCTCGTGAACTTGAATAGGTGGGAGGTTTTTGTTATGAAGTACCGGAATATCGTACTACTAATAGTTCTCCAAGTTTGTCTCTTGGTGTATTCCACCTGAAACTCGTATGTTCTGTTTCCCTGGAACTGCGACATTTGAATATGAAAGGAGCGCCAGCAGCAGGATGATAGCACTTTTAGTGGGCTACAGAAGGTAACAACAGCTAATAACGGCTATAAAGTGTTTAGAACCTAAGATCCACTGGAATAATTGCACGTGACAGCAACTGGTAACAGCTGATATGGTTTGATAAGGGTCTTGAGAAGGTAACAGCCATTAGATCTGTATCGTCTTTCATTTTCGAAAGGAACCTTGACATTTCGATGTCTGCTGTGAGGTAGGACAGAATCGTAGATGGTTTGTGATATAAGCTGATATTAGCTGATAAAGACTGATAGGGGATCTATTGGAGCGTGAGTCGCTAGATCTCCTGTGTTTTTCGAATTGGAAGCAGAGTTTTGACATTTTGCTTATGTCACTAGATCGTAGATGGTGTGCAATGAAAATTGATAGCACTGATAAGGTCAGATGAAAGGCTCAAATGACGATCTACTCCATCTCTGCAATAGGTAAAGACCTATGTGTATTACACATGCCAGCCGGAACGTCGCGCTTCCATTGTCTTTGTGGAGTAGCAGCTTTATGAACGTTACTTGACAAAATAGAGTGACATAGAATAACGACAACTTTATCCACCACGATGAAGTGGTCATATCCTTCATGCTCCTCTCCACAAATATCCGTTCAGTTCATTGGTGAATTCTGCAGACGTTGAAGAGGGGTGGGGATGTTAATATCGTATTATCTAAAGAGCTGAAATGTTTGGATGTGTTATTTTGGAGCGACGAGTTTGAAGGGGGTTGGTAATGGAAGGTGGCTTCACAGTGGTTAGCACTGATAATGGTACTTCATTGTTTACACTCATCTATGACCAAAACGTCTCAATTGTTTAAGACTGAAGGGGGAATCACGCCATCTCTTTACTATGGTACAAGTTACGAGAGAACCTATCCGTCCGATTTCTGCAAAAGTTCATGAATGAATGAATGTTAGAGGAGGGTAGCCTAAGGGCAATGACCACTCTATCGCTGATAATGTTGCTATCATTCTATGGCAATGGTGAGAAGGAATCAGTTCTTCAAAAGTTGATTATAGGGACTAGATAATCATAGGGGTATGATCAAATATAAATCGCTACGTCACAAAAGAAAGGCCGGCGGTACGACTGGCCTATTTAAAATAACTCTATGTATTGAAGATCTGCAGGCCATAATATTACAAATGTGCTTAAATGTTGATATATATGTAAAGTACCAACGCTGATTACACAGGCTGCTAATTACAGTTCTGATTTAGGAACTACAACATCATCACCGAAGATGGGGTTACTATTCTTCGTATGGAATGCACTACTCTTGAAGACAATGCCATATTTTCCTGTACCGTAGCGAATAACTTTGGAATGCAGACTGCCAACTGCAAAGTCATCATCGAAGGTATGTTGCATTTTCAAACAACATTCAAGTGAGAAAGCTCAGAAAACTGAAAAAGCTCAACCAGCTTGCAACGATTGAGTTTGGAAATGAAATTTTGTGTATTCCTAGACGTTCGGAAGGGACACCATCATTTATTGCTTGCGCCCTTTAACTCAACTATTGGTGAAAGTAGTTCTTGCCTTGTGAAATGGCTATAGGTTCCGGAATGGATTTATAACCACATTTCCAAAACATCTTGATGTGTACAAGTTTCACAATTGCGATGACAAACCAAATGGTAATGGTATTTACCGACGATTCGTCCTAATTTTGTCGACAACCGACTTTTAGAAGAGCTATTCGGGCTAGAAGAGTGTATATGTACGAAACCTAGGTGTGTGATTGTGGGAACCATGCAGTAGGTCTAAAAAGATTGAGTGGATCCCCTCCTTTGCTTGTCGATATCAGGACCGCTTGTACCTGAATCGACCTGTGATGCATCAAATACTGAGTCACGAAGAGAAACCTACCGAAGTGTCATCTGATTACTCTTGGTAAACGCTTCTAGTATGCCGCATGCAATCCGCTCTCAATCGTCGAGAACCGTCTAATTTCCTGATTGGATGCGTTTCTAGTTTATAGAATTACCCATGGCATTGGTGATTTCGTCGTCAGTGCGCTTTTTATTTTCCTGAAATGAATGGTACCCTAAAATTCCATAGATAAGAGCGGTTGAAACTACTGGTGAAAAATGAATTGGAATGAAATTGAAATTGAATGCAGTCACCCTCTAACTTGATGGATGGATCAATTCAACTTCGAAGAAGAAGTTGAGAAGAAGCTCCGCCCCTTAACTCCAAACCCCGCCCACTTAATAAACAATTCATATAGAAAAATAGCGATTNAATCGCTATTTTTCTATATGAATTGTTTATTAAAAGGGCAGGGTTTGGAGCTAAGGGGCGGAGCTTCTTCTTAACTTCTTCGAAGTTTAATTTATCCATCCATCAAGTTAGCGGGTGACTGCATTCAATTTCAATTTCATTCCAATTAATTTTTCACTGGCAGTTTCAACCGCTCTTATCTATGGAATTTTAGGGTAATAATTCTGCTAGGAGCGAAAGTAATGGTAAGTAGGAACACACGCATGATCACGGTTTCTAGTCTCGGACCGTTATCCCTGGACCAACCAAGCCTTCGTTCCTCTGGGGTCGGTTGATTGGTACCAGACACGTCTGGAAGGAGAAAAGCAGTCGCGCTGCTACCACGAATCATTGTGTGGACCATATACTCATGCAAAGTCCACCTAAATCCCAAATCGAAGACAAGTCCACCTAGATCCCAAATCGAAGACGAATGTGAGGGCGCGTCGCATTGATTAACGTCCAAAGATTTTGAAAACTTCGAGTCTATCATTCCGTCATCCGTTCTCATTCAAGGCTGCAGAAATCAAGAGTTGCATTTGGTAGCGAGAGCCATGATGATTCGAGAGATGGCACAATCAGAACACTCAGAACATAACAAATTTCGTATCAACCTTCAAGCGAAAGATAACCAAAATCAGAACCAGCTCCCATCGTTCTTCTAATATGGACGATTTTAGATGACGTGCTCGAGCATAAACACATTGGCACACAAGTGATCTGTGACCGGGAAGGTGCAAGTGGAGATGTGGATGCGGTTATGATGAGCCCACGCACGACTGCTACGAAATTCACGTTCACCTCATCTGAAGTTGTTGAACGAAGCAAAGAGCACGAAGAAACCACAGAAGATGTTTCCATTGAAGATATCGATGAGCAGAAGCCAGTTTTTCTTCTTCCATTAGAAGACAGTGTTTTCAAAGGGAATACTAGCACCCTCAAATGTATTATTATGGCTGCACCAACTGCCCACATCGAGTGGAAAATTGATGATCAAGTGGTCATCGAAGACGAGTGAGTATTAGAAGTGTAAATACCTTTTATTGAAATTGAGAAAAAAATCATGAATTTCAGGGAGCACGGGATTATTTATGAAGATGGTATAGCTATTCTAAAAATTCGCAATATTCAACGCGATGACCTTCGAGTGTCATGTACTGCCACAAATCGAAACGGTCGAGCAGAATCGCATTGCCAGTTGACAAGAGAACACGAAAGATCACTGCATGAGGAAGGCCAAAGCCCACGTTTCATTATTCCGCTGAAAAATATCTGCACTTGTGCGGAGGAGGTTACGCTTAAATGTATCATTGAAGCCGAGCCGATACCAGAAGTTACATGGTTTGTCGATGGGAATCTGCAGACGCAGAGGCAAGTACTTCTTCATCACTATATATATACCGTTTTTTACGCAACCTATATTTCTTAACATTCACTGAAACCACGAATGGTATTCGGCAATTTCTCTTAAGCTATTATATCCTTAAAAACAGATGAGAGCAGTTTTTTCAAGTGGCTCACACGTTTACAGTCATATATCACGATGACTTTGGGTTATTTAATTTTCGACGAATGATGAAATTGATAGTTCAGAATGGTGCGGAAAGGGTCGAAGGAAATGCAAAAATCGGGCTGGTTGGAAATGTGAAAGACTCCGAAAAACCGTAAAATTAGGGGTTGAACGAGGATGTCACGACAAAAGTTGCATGGGAAGGGCATTCGGACGAGCTGTCAAATGTGTGTGTGCCATTGTATACAGCTGGGTAAAGTAGCCTGCCTGCGTGCAACGTGGGCATCACGGTGCGAGTCTTTAAAGCCGTGAGAAATCACAACGGCTAAGGGGGTTTTGGGACTCTTATTACGCCTATCTATGCCGATTCCCAACCCGACAACGTACTGTTCTTGGGGGTTGCAGGTTCAAATCCTGAAAGAAATCTCAGAAAACTTTTATCGTTGCTAGTGCCTTTGACAACAACATGCTTCTGCTAATCTTTTCATTTATATTAGGTTGATCGGAAAGTCTTGATAGGGATGAGATGTTTTTCTGTTTCATTTTACAACTCAGCAACCAGTGCAAGCTAATCAACAATATAATAAGCATTGTTAGTTTTATAACATTAGCCCACTTGACGGATAGGTAAGCGATTCCCTTCTCCCGGAACTGGGAAGATTGGTAGTCAAATAAGTCACCGACCACTTGTAAGGTGATCGTAGTTGACGAATTGTTTTTTTTTTTGCTAGGAAAGCCTAGAAGGGACAGAAAATGGTAATCTGAAGGAGCAGTATCGATTTGAGGGGGGGGAGGGGGTTGATTTGGGACCAACTCTCAGCCTAGCTCCTCCAATTTTTAACGGATCTCTTCACCTATGTGAGGCCTAACTATGGTTGTCATGGAGGAGGTGCACCGAATTCGTCTAGGCAGTTNTTTCTCGAAGCTCCCCCAAATTTCTGCAGCTGACCAGTGCAACAGGGAGCAGTGACTGTATGACCTCCCTTGAGCGATTCGTAGTACAGCATTCCTTTGAATTCCCAAAACAGCAAAATATGAACCTCTTGGGGTGGGAATCGGATTTGGCTTACATCGGCAGCTGTTCTCCTCGCAGAAGCCTAACGGCATGGTGGTTGTTAGCGTCTAGAGGATCCAGCTTTCATCTCCAGTAACTAGGTCCTATAGAAACTCCTTGCGATGTATGCGAAGAAGGAGAGACTAAAAGATGAATGCCCGGGTGTACCGTATGCTATAGGTCAAGACATGAGGTTTCTATCGAGTCAACACTTTTTTGAAACCGAAGGCCTGAAGGCGACCGACAACTGTTATTTAGGCATACCCAAGTCTTGTCGCGAGATTGCGGGTGTTAACTTCCGGATCCTCTTTTGACGGTGCTGAGAATGACGGAGTCGTTGACGGCGAGGGGCGTCCAGACCAAGGCTTGTCTTCGAAGCCCATCACCTTTCTTGAAGCGAAGGAACCAGCGATGGACGGTACCGCTGGAAGTGGTGTCCTCCTCCAATGCGCTGTTGATGTTGTGGACTGTTGCTGTCGCTCCAGTGTGGACTGTTTCTCACGCTCCACTGCACACCAGTACTCGTAGAAGGCGACGGCTCGAAAATTTTGTGAAATTGAAATCGTGTAACTCAGGTAGGCGCACATGCCCTTATTGCGGAGAAGCCTTCGAATTGTTCTATAGCTATCACATAATAGATCATGGATATAGGTTAGAAATCGAAAACCCCGCACTTTTCAAAAAACCCTATCAAGACTTTTCGATCAATCTAATACCTTACCTTCTACAATGACCGAAGTCGTTCTTTATCGGTTTTTGAAGAGCAACATTTTCAACAATCACTCATCTTGCTTTGTTGATCTGTTGATCTTGTTTTTGATTTTATAACAGACACGCAATTAGGAATAAAAGAAGCGCATCTACAGTAGCGCTCAAAGGTCTTTGGACAAACATTTCGATAAGTTCAATTAAAGCATGATTAACACTACCCAATAATATTTGACTGCAAAGCAGCAATATCCAAGTAACTGACCATAAGGGGGAGGTGTTTATTGCGATAGCAATCTACGCTGAAACAAAGTTAGCGACATCTGCAGTCATTCGTACCTTATGTGCCTTTTTCTTCTCTAATGTGTTCGGCATTGGCGCTCGTAAACTTTGAACACGGCAAGAAGAGAAGATTCACCAGAAGGACCATCATACGTATTTCCAGTCGATTTTGAGTTCAAGCTCTTTGAGATATCTGTAAGATGATCAGATTGCAGGTCAATAGTGGTAAATATTCATAATAAACCGATGGTTCACATATGAAAATTCCGCATGATTAGATAGGAAAGCAGTTACGACTGAGAAGTACGACTAAAGAAGCATTTGGCCGAAGACTTCTGAGGCTACTGTAACTATTGTGCTGCTTTCCCGTTCTCCAACTGGAAACCTTCATTTAGCCCGCCTAAACCGCTTCGTCAGGTCTTTACCACCATCGCCATTTCATTCACCTCGACTCTAAGTATCTACTGCAGCTTGAGCAGTCCTTGAAATCTCAATTGAAACATTCATCGAAGAATGCTGAGCACCATTTTGGTTGTGTCGCTCCTGTCAACGTCTTGTCTAAAAGGCTGATATAACCTGAAATTTTTGAACAAATATTACAATTTTCAAACCCCATCTTGCAATGCTGACATACCATTGGTTCCTGTAATCATGCCACATCTCATAATCTTTGTTTTCCTTACCATTCACTCAGTTACATCCAATTAATAGTAACCAGTCGGGCCGCCCGGCTAACGCCGGGCTTCCCTCCTTCTTATGGTGACGCCCGGCTTCGCCGGGCGGTCCTTCTTTCTGTAAGAAATTTGCTATGCGTAAATAACTCTTCGGATTCTACTTTTTCCTTGAAAGCTTTACACCCTCAGTATTAGCTCCGAATTGGGAGCGATTTCTTCTGTAAGCCATCTTCGCTGTGTCCGGTAAGAACATCGTATAATATCGCAAAGGCGATTATCCAGAGAAAAAAAGGATAGATGAGCCGAGGAAGCGTACCTCCGAGAGATTTTCGTGCAACTGCAATACTTTGAACGCCCTATGCCCAAATTATCAATTTTCGCTCAAACCCCGCCCCCTATGGGCGGGGTCTGGTCCTGCCACCCACCATTAGTGTTCCTATCCCACCGCACGTACTCCTACCAAGTATGAGTGCTCCAGAATCAAGGGGACGGGAGTTGTGAATTTTTGCACAAACTCCGCCCCTTGTAGGCGGAGTCTGGTCCTGCCACCCACCATTAGTGTTCATATCCCACCGCACGTACTCCTACCAAGTTCGAGTGCTCCAGAATAACGGGGACGGGAGTTGTAAATTTTTGCACAAACTCCGCCCATTGTAGGCGGAGTCTGGTCCTGCCACCCACCATTAATGTTACTATCTTGCCGTCCGTACTCCTACCGAGTT